AGGTAAGCCGGACAGTGGTGGGGAAATTACCTGAGATATCTTGAATGGTCTGTGGAGTTTCTTGTCAAGTTTCTTTGAGGGGCGCTTCGCCTTGATGTGCTTATCGTTCAACATAACAAGTTGCCCTACCTCATAGACCGAGGCCTCCGTTTTGCTTCTTATCCGCCCAGTCTCTCATTCTCTGACGGGCACGGTCGAGATGCTCTTGGGCGTGGTCGTGAACCTGGGTCATCCAGTGGGCGTAGAGACGGCTCCCCGGGTTCCGCGGCGCACCGTCAGGGTGGTTGTGAGAGGCTGGGTGATAACCGTAATTGGCGTAGAACGGAGTGAGCCCAGTCGACGATGAGGCAGAGTTATTGTATGCAAACTCGGCAGTGGCGAGAACGTCTTCCCAGTTGCTCATTTCGTAGTTTTACGAAGGCACGGAGGTAGATCTCACGGGAGATGGCTCGTAATCCCGAGAGAGGTTTAGGGCAAGGTTTCTTTCGTAGTTGTTGCTCGGGTTCGTTGTCAAGGCTAAGCCATTCCCAAGATGCAAACGACGGGGTTGACCAGGCTGGCACCAAGGTGAGGTCGTGGTGATCTATGTAGTGCTTCATGGTGGCCACTCAAAAATCCGAGTCGGAGTCGCTATCTTCTTCCATTGTCTGCATGGCTCTGGTGATTGCGTTGGTTTTCGCTTTCTTGAACTGGGCCTCGTCGCTATTGGCGAGGTCCTCAGCTCCTTCTTCTTCACGGTCGCTGTTTTTCCGTTTGGCGGAGATGGCGGCCGTAACTGCTGGCTGGGACAGTTCTTTACCGTTGTTATCCTTCTTTGCGAAACACTCCAGGGTGTGGTGATTGTTGCGTCCGCATCGCCAGCAAGAAACGCGGTCCTTTTTGCGTTGGTCGATGTCGCTCTGATCGATGTCGCTCTGATCGATGTTTTTCAAGGCTTCGCGGACGGTGTCCCATTTCTTGTCTTTGGCTGGTTTGTCGGACTCTCTTGAGGATTGGCTTTGGTTGGAAGGGGAGCGGGTATCCTTGTGAGATTGTTGGCCTGACTTTGAGTGCTCCGTTCTTGAAGTGGGCGCGTCTTTTCCCGACTGATAGCCTGGGGCCTGCAGCATGTTTTCGTAGACTCGTCCGGCCTCTTTGACAGCGCTGATGAATTCGTCGTCGGTCTCGGGGATTCCTCCTCTCATAGAGAACATCAGTTCCGTGATTTTGGACGGGAGAGTTCTACCGATCTGGTTCTGGAATGTAGTTCCTGCCCATCCGACAGTTTCGTTGAGGTCAAGGAGTTCTGTGAGGTATTCTGCTGTGTCGCCGTGGTACCGGAGTTCTTCCATCTTCTTCGCATTACGGTGGCGTTCCGAAGGATCCTTGAATCGTTCAAGGAGAGCGCTAGAGTACCCTTTCCAGGTGTCTTCCACTCCCATAGAGCGGATCTGACGGGACCGTGAGTCGTGCCATTTCTGGGCTTTGTCCGTGAGCATTGAACCCAGCCAGTTGATTTTATGGCTGTCGGTGGGGAAGCTAGCAGCGTAAGCGTGGAGGTAGGCGCTGATACGGGCCCACCAGGGTCGGAAAGCATCGAGTTTTTTGCCGTCGTAGGTTGCAGGCTTGTTGAGGTGGATAGGCGTAGTTTGGATGGTTGGGTAACCCCAATTCGCCAGGAAACTATTGGCCTGGTTTCGAGCATCGTCGTCGTCGTTGCCTGCTGGCCCGAGAGTGTTTCGGGGCGGCCGGGGAGGTCCCGGGGAGCCTTGCCTTCCCGCGGACTGTCCAAACCGTACTGAGCCGGTTCCGTAGTTGTTAGCATACGTAGCCTCTCGTTGCATACGAGCTTGGTTGGCTTGTCGTCTGGCTTGGGCTGCTTGGAGGTCGTTGTCCTTAAGGAAGCCGAAGAAGGGTTCTGATAGGGAGGAGTGTTGTGTGGTGCTGGGGGCTTTGATGGCAGCCCGTTGTTCCAAGAGACGCAGAATGGAGGCAGTATCGGGTGCCTTCTGTCCTGCTTGTTCGATGGTTCTCTGGAGGTTCGTGATCTGTTCTTCGAGGGCTTTGAGTTGGCTGGGGTGAACGAGTTTGTCGTAGATGTCACTGATCTGTTGATTATGGGTAGTTGCCCGGTTTTCGGCGTGGCCCAGGGGGAATTGCTGGCGAGCGGTTCTTTCATTGAGGGTTTCGAGGGCCTTTTGATGGCGAAGTGAGATTTCCCGGAGTTGGTCGATGGCCTTCTGACGGGCGGCATCTTGTTTTCCGTACTTGGCAATGACAGTCCAGACCTCCGAGGCGAACCTGTCGCTGGCCTGTTGAATTCCTTGTTCGAATTTGGCGACCTGGTTCTGAGACGCCTCGAGGCCTCTTTTGAACATGGTGGCGACGAGGTTGTAGTTGTCCCTTAGGTCTTCATACTGAGTGCGGAGGGTCGCGAGTCCTTGGGCTTGCTCCTGTCCTACGGAAAGGGCAATTTCGCGGATCTGATGGTGAGCTCTGGCGATCTGGTCGTGCATGGCGATGAGCCACAGAGGGGGGTTGTTGACTAGAATGGGTCCAGCGGCGATATCGTCATTTCTGGTCATCACTATATCGAAGCTGACAGGTTGCCACAAGGTCAGGATTTTGTCGGTAGTGTTTTCGACCGAGTCGATGGAGGTGGCGCGAGGTGATGCCATATTGATGAGTAGTGAATTGGAGTTGGTAGGATTAGGGGTGGAATGATAAGGTAAGGGTGGTTCGAGAGGGAAGTAGTTATCCTGTCATTTCTACGAGCTACCACGCTTACGTAGCTATCAACCCATGACAATGACAATGACTGAATGGGTTGTTGAGGACTGTACCGGTACCGGGTGGGTCCAGTCAGGAACAAGAAGGAATTTCAAGGTAAAGTCGGAAACAACAACAACAACAACAACAATGAAGAAAAAAACGTTAAAAAAAGGAATTCTAGCTTCTAGCTGTACATAGATGAATCAACAAAAAAGTTTTAAAAAAAAATGATCGTGCGCTTGAATGAGAGTGACCAAGTGAAGAACGCAGTAAACATTGGGTTTATTGATATCGAAATAGTGTTGTTGGCTTTAGTTCATGTTTGTTATATTTATGCCACGGACAAGGGCTGCTCATGTTAGATGTCCATCCGGAGGCTTGACACAACATATTACATCTTGTCCGATCTCCCTTGATTCTATATGTAATATCACACACTCGCCTTTTTCACAAGCGACATATCTTCGAATTTCTTCACTAATGTTGGATAAGTGAACGGCATCCACATAAAAATACCATACGTAGCATAGGGCTTTCTTCTTACTGACAGAGTTTTCGCTTAGTGTCTACCTATCTATCTTCTTTTCGTCGTTTTCCTGATTAGATAGGTGATGCCGAACCCGACGCAGTCCAGATGCCCAGCTAATTTCTCAAACATGGTGACGGTAGATTTTGCCGGTTCAACGGTCTTACGACAATAGATTCAATAACAATATCGAGTAATGAGTAGAAAGAAAACAAGGAACAGTGGAGGAGGCGAAGCAACTTAAAATAGGGCATACCCGAGCCAGGTAACACGGACAATTGGACCCCTGATACCACACATATCGACAACAACTTTCCACTCAACCCAGGCTCTAACAACGGCGGCGCTGTAACCTGGTAAGTGACACTTCCTATACCTACCACCGTATCCATCACTAATAGCAAACAATAGGCACTCGGGCTCGGTATCACCGACCTGCATGTTACGATCCAATCGTTGAGCC